AGTAAGTTTAACGCTTCACGTTCCACTCGTGTGAGATTAGGCTTTTCGTGTGTTATGGAAAGGTTCGCTGTTTGGCTATTCATACTAGCAAATGCTTTCAATATTTCAGGATGGATGGCGGCCTGAGGGGGTGTCCACGTGGATTTAGGAATAAACATTGTTCTAGCACCACGTGGGGGGTGGTTTCGAAAAAAATATGTGCAGCTAAGATTTCGTTGAAATCGTTCAATGGATGGTCGGAGATAATTCAAGTTAGCTATCTTTGGTGTGGGAATAAACTTAAGTCCACGGTCTAAGATTGAATGCTGAAGGGGTGTGAGAATTTTGCGGCTCAAGTTAACTACAGTTTGGCCTAGCGGTGGCCTCTCAGTATTTTTATCCCCAGTAATTAGTTTAAAGACTTACTCGATGCTTGAAGCTGGTGTATCCAAAACAAAAAAATGCTGTTTGCTGTTTCTGGAGACCAATGAAGATTATCAACTGTTTCGAATTCTTCTTCGTAGGGTGGTAAGATTGTCGCGCTGTTGATACTGGACTCCATCATCATGTTGTTGAGGGTGCTGAGGTTCTGTTGTGCTTTCTTCGAGATTTTATTTGAAATGGGTATACATGTGAAGAGGATCTTGGAGTTTGGGAAGGTTTTGTTGGCTGTGGCGATTAATTTCTGGGCTTGGTTAAAGGAGGTCTTTGGTATCTGATCACGGTTGTTGAGGCCTACATGAAGAATAATGGTAGTAGGTTTGGGATCATGGTCGTATGATTCCAGGATTGACTGTATGTGATGGATTTGGGCACCGGGGTAAGAATGTATTTCGGTGTCCGAACTGGTTTTGGTAATTCGATTCAGGTTAGATGATCCAATTATTAAGGTTGATTTCTTTAGAGCAGGTAGTTTCCATAATGATTTGTCCTTGGTTTGGTGATAATACGGTTTGGTAGCGGATATAATGGTCGTCGACGGTGTGATTGGTACTGGTTTGGTAGTTGTTAGAATTGTAGCATTTGGAACGGACTGGGATCTGGTTCGAGGAGGGGAAGGTCTGGATACATGTCTCGACTTGGATGGAGACTGAGGGGTGGTTTGCTGGTCCAAAAACGCACAGAAGGAAGAAAGGTTGGCGGATCCTGGATCACGTGGTGAAGATTCAGATGGTGTG